TCATCGTCCTCGTCCTCCTCGTGCCCCAGACCCCTGTCCTTCTCCTCCTCCTCCTGGTGCCCCAGACCCTCCTCCTCCTCGTCGTCCTCCTCCTCCTCCTGGTGCCCCAGACCCTCCTCCTCCTCGTCGTCCTCCTCCTCTTCCTTGTGCCCCAGACCCTCCTCCTCCTCCTCGTCCTCCCCCTCCTCGTGCCCCAGACCCTCCTCCTCCTCATCGTCCTCCTCCTCCTCGTGCCCCAGACCCTCCTCCTCCTCCTCCTCATCTTCCTCCTCGTGCCCCAGACCCTCCTCATCGTCGTGCTCCTCCTCTTCCTCATGCCCCAGACCCTCCTCCTCCTCCTCGTTGTCGTCCTTCTCATGCCCCAGACCCTCCTCCTCGTTGTCCTCGTCCTCTTCCTCGTGCCCCAGACCCTCCTCGTCATTGTCCTCCTCCTCGTGCCCCAGACCCTCCTCCTCCTCCTCGTCGTCTTCCTCCTCCTCGTGCCCCAGACCCTCCTCCTCCTCCTGGTGCCCCAGACCCTCTTCTTCCTCATCGTCCTCCTCTTCCTGGTGCCCCAGACCCTCCTCCTCCTCCTCCTCGTTGTCCTCCTCCTCTTCCTCATGCCCCAAACCCTCCTCCTCCTCCTCCTTGTGCCCCAGACCCCTCCCCATCTCCATTGCCATTCTCTGGACACTCTCCACCCCCTCAAAGTCTTTCCTGTCAGTGGGGCCCCAAAACTGATCCCACCCCTCGAGGTGGGGCCTCCCCAGTGCCCAGTCTGGGGGTAACTGGGGAAGAGCAACCTGCTTGTCCCCGGGGTGGCAGCGGGGAGCCCCCCCTGGGGGGGGTGAGACTCATCCCCCCCCATCCCGTGGGGAGGATGATGGGGGGACACTGATTCTCCTCCCCCCTTTTTCCCCCCCCAGGAAGAAGAGACGAAGCGGCTGCTGGAGCCCACAGCCAGCCCCCCCAACAAGGTGCTGAACGGCGCCGAGCAGAGTTACCACAACCTGCCCTCGGCCCGCACCGACGAGCAGGCCATGCTCTCCTCCATCCTCGCCAAGACCGCCATGTAAGCCTCCTACCAGTGGCCACCGTGGCTACCATCCCCCGGGGAGGGGGCTATGGGGGTCTTGCTGCCCCCTCTCTGTGTGGCAAGAGGGGTTGTGGTGTGTTTTTGTGTCATACATGTGGTGTCACAGCACCGTGGGGCCACCACACAGAGTTGGGTGAGGGCCCAGCTCCTCTCTGGGCCCAGGGGGCCGGCAACGGGGCTCTCCAGGATGTTTGCCAAGAGTTTAATCATAGAGTCATAGAGTTGTCCAGGGTGGAAGGGACCTCCAAAGGCCATCTAGTCCCACCCCCCCGCAGTCAGCAGGGACACCCCCAACTAG